GGAAGGGCGAGGAGAGCCACGACAGACGTCCAGGGCCACAGCCGCTGTCGGGTGGAGGGGAGCCGAGGCGCGGGCACGGCCTCACTTCTTCAGCTTCTCCTCCGCCATCCCCAAGAGAAAAAAGGACGACCTATGGCACCTACCCCAGGAGAAGCCCCGCGCCCTGCTAAAGGCCCTTCCCAGCTCCTCGGGCTCCTCGCCCGCCTCCCTCACAGCGGCCCGCGCACCCCGAGCTGTGAGGCGAGAAAATGGCGGGGCGGCGCCTTCTCCCCTCAGCGCGGTTCGCCCCGCAGCAGCCCCGCGGCCGGAGCCGGGAGAGCAACCGCCTCTCCGGGCGCTTCGGAAGCGGCTGAAACGCGATGAGGATGCTCCACCTGGCGGGCAGAGCCGCGCAGCCCGGGGGGTTCTCCTCACACCAACGTTCCTCGTCTCTCAACGTCCGATGAAACGAGTTTGAGGACATTTCCAGAGCCAGCCCCGCGAGGAAAGCGCGCCCGGCTCAGCCCTGAGCCCGCTGTGCTGCCATCCCCGTGCCTTCACCTCAGACACTAAGCCGCCTCACGGCTTCCCATCCTGATGCTTCACCCGAAAGCATCCGTTCCCCTCATTGCTTGCTGCGTTACGTTCTATAAGCGGTTTGGAGGCAGCTCTCGTCCCCATCCTGGGACGATATGTAATATTTGAAGGATTGTTTTGTGCGCTTCCAAAGGCACAAAATGCGTTTTGCTTTGACGCCTCTCGGTTCCAACCTCCCCCGGAAGGGAACGCCTTTTCGCGTTTCCTAAGGGAAAAAGGTGTGAATGAGGAACTTTTCACATAGAAAACAAGAGCCAGCAGAAACTCACGTCTTTATTTGAACGCTTTGTTTCCTTTTGTTCGAATTTTCAGAGAAAACCCCGATGGGAACCAGAGACCTGAAGCAGAGCGGAGGAGTACAGCGAGTCTCCCCCCCCCCCCCCCACACACACACACCTTGTTTTTAGGGACCTTTTGGTCCTTCTGATGGCTATGGGTGCTTTAAGCGAGCACTCAACCTGCTCTCTCTCGCCTAATACTGAGCAGATTACAGCCTTAAGCACAGCTCTTTTGGGGGAAGAAATGGAAGGAATGGTAAACGATGTTTCAGGGGCACAGCAATTGGGATAAGGATAGGGATAAGAATAAGGGTGGGGATGGGGATAGGGACAGGGACAGGGATAGGGATAAGGATAGGGATAGGGATAGGGATAGGGATAGGGATAGGGATAGGGATAGAGATAGGGATAGGGATAGGGATAAAGACGAGCATTAAGAAAGGTACCGAGGGCAGCACCCCCCCAACCGCTCAGCCCTGGGCTGAACATCCCCGCTCCCCCCGCGGCGTGGGAGAACCGTTTCTCCCCGTTTCCCGGAGCATCAGCACCGAGCCCAAGCCCTCAAAAATCCCGGCTGGCTCCGCAGGTACCCGCCCCAGGGACTGCGTGCACTCAGGCAACGCCGCTTAGCATCGCTTAATGAACTTCCACATCTCCCTCAATCCTATCGAGACCTCTAAAGTGGGGTTTCTCCTTCCCGAGAGGGGATTTGTTAATGCAATACTTAACGCCAATCAAAGGCTTAAAAAATGTATTCGCACCTCTGCTGCGTGCCAAACTGCTTCTACATAAACGATCCCGGGGGGAGGACGGTTTTGGGATCCGATGGGGCACGGAGTGGCTCCTGGAGCCGATGCTGGAGGGCTCCGCTGGCCCCGGGCCGCATGGCACGGCCCTTACGGCAGGCAGTGTTTTTGCCGATTTATTTTTTGAAGTGCAATTTTATTCCTTCTTCTCCAGTGGGCTCATCCCTGAAGGGCTAACCCCGCACCCTACTTGGCTCCCCCGTAGCGGATGGCAGAGCCGTGGCCCGGCTGAAGGTGGCCATCATTGCCGGCTGATAATGGCACGAGGAACGCCTGTAGTTGTTATGTAAGGTGGGAAAATGCTTCCGAAGCCCCCGGCTCCCAAAACGGGGCCGGCACCCGGCCGTGCCCGAGGGCTGCGGCAGCGGTCACCCCTTAGAAGTTAACGAGGGGCTGCTGGGCGCTGCCCGGTGTTGGCTATTCTTCCCACCCCCAGCAGAACCAGCGTGGTGGGGAACAAAGGCTGGGAGTTGGGGGGCAGCCCCCCGCCCCGCGAGCGGCTTTCGCTGCTTCTAATGAGGATTCATTTATTTAGCCTACAGTGCTGGCTTTCATTGTGGAGCCAGTCTCGCTCTGTCTACAGTCATTAGGTTGCAGCCCGGTTATTCCCCCACCAGATCATGCGCACGCTTAAAAATTAATTAATTAATTAATTAATTTTAGCTGCAGTATATTATTAATCGTCATATTGCCGATCTGAATGTGCTCCCCATCCGCACAGCATTGCCGCCTTCACCTCTCTGAGAAAGTCTCAGGGCTGTTCCCACCAGCCGCGTCCGGGGATGCTCCAAGGAAGCCCCGTGCTCACCCCGAGCAGCTTCGGGGCTTTTATCCCTCCCGACAGGGCTATGTGGGACCTCCCTGAGCTGTTCAGTTGAAGTTTTTCCCCATTCCATCGGGCGTGGATGGGCGGATGGGATAAACATCAGTGTTTGAACCTCAGCAATGTTTACAGATGTTATTTTCCCTTTCTCCCGTTTTTCCTTTCCTTTTCGCTTTGTGGACCCAACCCGGGTCCACAAAGCGAAGCCGCAGCGTCCCTCGTTTATTCTTCAAGTTTCTGCGGAGCGTCTCTGAACCGGAGAGTTCTGCGTGTGCTTTTCTGTCTCCCCGGCTCTGTCGGATTCTATGAAAATGAGCAGTATTGAAAGCTGCTCCATCCCGCTAGCTGTGAGCCTCACATAAATGATGTAAATGGCTCCGAGGGTTTTTTTCAAGTGAACTGTGTAGATCTGTGAAAATAATATCAGGGTTTTCCGTCAGAATGAGCTTAGCACTGTACTGAGGCGTACCATAATCTGACCCGACACCTCCGACCATCTGCGCTATCTATCTGCCTTCTGATTTACCAAATCTTCACGAGCAAAAGACAAATTGTACTTGATACTAAAGGAAAGAGGCGAGCCCAGTGCGGCTCCGTTCTGCGGGGAGATGGATGATGGGGGGAAACGGGAATCTGCTTAATTTTGGGCAACCGACAGAGGAGGAGAGAAAGAAAAACAGCACAGTGATAGTAATAAAATATTAAATTAATTAAAAAAAAAAAAAAAAAAAAAAGGAAAAGAAGAGAGGAAAGTCAACAAGACATCGAATCATGGAAGCATTCCTTTGACAAGTGTTCCAGAAAAAAAAAAAAAAAAAAAAAGGCATCGCAAGGAACATATTGAGCTTATTTCCCATAGACGCTGCCTTTCCGAGCGTGGCCCCTCACGTTCCCGGAAAGGCATCGCCGCTGAGCCGCGAGATACGGAATGAAGAACGCGGCCCCGTGATTTGGTGTCTCCGCTCGAAGCCGCGCTCCGCGCTGCTGCCGTCCCCGCTCCGCTCCCAGCGCGGCCCCGCGTCGGGGCTCGATGAGGAGGAAGCCGCGGGGAAGGGCTACCTCGGGGTGATCAATATTGCAAAAGATTCCTGAAATCTGCTTCGAGTCGCCGTCCTGACCTAGCGATGACTTCTCACTCCCCGCCGCTGTTCTCTGCGTCTGTTCAGGGCCACTCAGCCGAAAACAATACGGTTTTAAATGTTAGGGGGGGAAATAAAATGATAAAGCTTTAATAGGGCAGAGAAGGGCGCTGAGCCCTTTGCAGATAATTCCTCGTAGTAACAGAGACGGGAAGTCACTGATAAGGGGAGACGAGGGGCAGTTTTTCCCTAAATCTCAGCCCCTCCTGCACTGCTCTACCCGCATCCATTGTCAGCAGCGCCCCCGGCAGCGCTTCTACAACGCAGCAGCCGATCTCTGTGCGATCCCTCCGCACTGCTCCATCCCGCAGAACCCCGAGCTCCGGCTGTGCAGCACCGCGCCCGGCCCTGGGTCCCCGTGCCGCCCTCCTGTGCCCCGCTCCCTCCGTCTTTCCATCAGCACCGGGGCCCGGTTCTCTGTTCAGCGCTTTCTCACGCTGCCCGTGGGACCCCAGTGAGAGGGATGGGGACCCCCAGAACTTGATGGGGACCCTCCGAAAGGGACGGAGACCCCCGACAGCTGACAAGAACGTACGGGAGTGGCACGGGGACCCCTGGGAGCAGGACGAGGAGCCCTGGCAGCGGGGCGGAGACCCGCTGAAGAGAGACGGAGAGCACTGGAGCGAGTGGGGAACCCCGAGAGCTGAACGGGAACCCTCGGGGACGGGACAGGGACCCCCGAGAGTGGCACCGGGACCCCCGGGAGCGAGACGGATACCCCCGGAGCCGGCCGGGGTCCCCAGGGCTGGACGGCGGCCCCAAGGAACGGGTCGGGGACGCCCAGGAGAGAGTCGGGGACCCCCCCGGGACCAGGGCGGGAACCCCTGGGAGCGGGGCGGGGACCCGGCCCGGGGCAGCGGGAGCTGCGGCTGCCGGGGAGGTGCCCCGGGCTCAGCGGCGCTGCCCGCCGCCGTGATTGGCAGCGGCTGACAGTGAGTGGCAGCCCCGCCATGGAAACCCGGAGCCAATCTGCCGAGCCCGGCAGCGAATCAGCCTCTCCCGCTGCAGCACGGCGGTGGCGGCGTGGAGCCGGGGTTGTGCCTTTTCTTTTTTCCCTTTTTATTTTTTTCCCATTTTTCTTTCTTTCTTTCTTTCTTTCTTTTTTTTTTCCTTCCCTTTCCCTTCCCTCCCTCCCCCCACGCCCGCCCTCCCCCCTTTCCTCCATCCTCCTCCTCCTTGCCTCTACCCACCGCCCCCAGTCGCCGCCGAGCGCTCCCCGTCGCCTCTCCGCCCCGCGCCGCCCTCCGGCCGCAGCTCCCTCTCTCCGCCGGCTCCGGGCGAGGCAGAAGCGGGGCTCGGGGCGGCCGCCGGGGCCGCTGCCCGCTTCCCCGCCGCGGGGCTGTGCGAGCCGGCGGCGGGGGGCATCGGAGCCGCCTCCATGTTCCAGCTGCCCATCCTCAATTTCAGCCCGCAGCAGGTGGCCGGGGTATGCGAGACCCTGGAGGAAAGCGGGGACATTGAGCGCCTGGGGCGCTTCCTCTGGTCCCTGCCCGTGGCCCCGGCGGCTTGCGAAGCGCTCAACAAGAACGAGTCGGTGCTGAGAGCCCGGGCCATCGTGGCCTTCCACACGGGGAACTACAGAGAGCTCTACCATATCCTGGAGAACCACAAGTTCACCAAGGAGTCCCACGGCAAGCTGCAAGCCCTGTGGCTGGAAGCGCACTACCAGGAGGCGGAGAAGCTGCGGGGCCGACCCTTGGGGCCGGTGGACAAATACCGGGTGAGGAAGAAGTTCCCTCTGCCGCGCACCATCTGGGACGGCGAGCAGAAGACGCATTGCTTCAAGGAGCGGACGAGGCATTTGCTGAGGGAGTGGTACCTGCAGGACCCTTACCCCAACCCCAGCAAAAAGAGGGAACTGGCTCAGGCCACGGGACTTACCCCCACGCAGGTGGGCAACTGGTTCAAAAACCGCAGGCAAAGGGACAGGGCGGCGGCCGCCAAGAACAGGTAGGTGCTGCCCGACCGCAGGGCTGGAGGCCGCGGGGCCGGGAGGGGTTCGGCCCGACGGGCAGAGCCTCGGGGCGGTCCTGTAAGGGCACAGCAGCGAGGGAAAGCGGGAGCAGAGGGAAAACCTGACAGCTTCGTTTCTTTTATTATCATTATCATAATCGCCATCATCATTCCTTTTAAAATACATTATTTATTTTATTTGTATTTTTATCCCGGCTCGGGCAGCCCCCATGTGCTCTGCAGCTCGGATTGACCCGCACAGAGCAGGGCCGTGCGATCCGATGGGGCGGGCAGAGCTCCCCAGAACCGTGCCTGGACACACGGACACCTCGTTCACTGTGTCTGTCTGTCCGGAGCAGGGCCAGCGATGCGGCCCAATATCCCCGCTGTGCGCTAATTCTTGGAGCCAACACAACAGCGCTCTTTGGGTCACTTTTTGGTGGTTTTTTTTTTTTTCTTCCTCTTTTCTCTCTCTCTCTCTTTTTTTTTTCTTTTCATTTTAACCTGGCACAATCAGGCAGGCGGTGAAGCGAGCGGCTCCCTCCGGTACTCAGTCCTGCACGAGCCTGGGGGAGAAAGAGGCAATCTTGTCACCTGCCACGTCGGGGCGGTGGCTTTTACGGCACCCCCAAAGCAGGGAGAAAAGCACGAAAGCCTCTGCGTGGGCTCAGCAGTAGGGCCGGGCTGGGCAGCCGGGCTGGGAGGGGCCGCTGCCCATCGGGGAAGGGGCTGCAGGATGGCAGGGGTGCTCCGTGTGCCCCCCGGTGACGCTCGGTGTGCCGCTTCCTTGCAGGCTACAGCAGCAGGTCCTAGCGCAGGGCTCGGGGCGATCGCTGCAAGCGGAGGAGGAGAGCGGAGGGGAGGCGGGGGGGGCAGCCTCCAGCCCAGCCGTCAGCCTCTGCAGCAAAGCGGCCACCTCCGCCATCTCCATCACATCCAGCGACAGTGAATGTGACATCTGACACCGAGCGCCATGACGAAACGGGGGGAGCTCCCCAGTGCCTACCGCTGCGCCCGGAGCCGGGCTACGGAACCCCCCCCGAGCCGCCGGACCCGCAGAGGACTGCATTAAAATCCGTGAGAAAAACAAAACAAAACAAAACAAAATCGTTGTCGCCTTTATTTTCGAGGATTCGTAGAATTCATGCCTGAAAAAAGGAAAGAAAGAAAGAAAGAAAGAAAGAAAGAAAGAAAGAAAGAAAGAAAGAAAGAAAGAAAGAAAGAAAGAAAGAAAGAAAGAAAGAAAGAAAGAAAGAAAACGGGGAAAAAGAAAAAAAAAAAGGAAAAAAAGGAAAAAAAAAGGAAAAAATATAGAAAATGTTAAAAAAAAGAAAGAAAGAAAAGAAAAGAAAAGAAAAGAAAAGAAAAGAAAAGAAAAGAAAAGAAAAGAAAAGAAAAGAAAAGAAAAGAAGAAGAAAAGAATGCCAACTGCAAAATGCCCAAGCGCCCATATCCAGTGGGGGGGAGGCTCCGTGTGGAACAGGCGCTGTTCTCGTGGCTGGGTTTCGCTTTACTTTAAAGGGGTTTTTATATATATATATATAATGTTTATTTACTTATTTAAGGGATGGCGATGGTAGATTTTTTTCTATTATTATTATTATTAATTTTTTTTTTTTTTTTGGCTTGTTCTCTATGTGCACGGGTGACTTGTAGAGCATGTGCAGGACGAAAAGTGTATGAAGCAGCCTAAAAACCGTAATAAAATATTTGGTGAACGACCTTCGGATCTGCTTTCAAATGGCAGCTTACGGCCCAGGGCCCGGCGGTCCCCGCAGCGCAGCTCCGGCAGCCGCGGGCACTTCGGAACCAAAGAGCCGCGTCCCGACACGGGGTGAAGTGTCGGCAATGGGGGGTCGGGAGGGTCGGGATGAGGCGAGGGGAGCGGCCGTAGGAGGATGCGGTGCGCGGGGAAAGGAGGGAGGAGGCAGCGCTGCGGTCTCTCGGGTTAGAGATTTCGGGGGATTTAATGGGAAGGAATGGGGAAAAGGGGGGAGAAAAAACGAGGAGAGGAGAAAGAAGGGGAAATGGTGCCGAGGCGGGGACGCCGGGCTTCCTCCCCGATGAGCGCAAAGAGGATGGAAATGAGCAGCCCCGTGCCCGGGCAGGGTCGGATCGGGGCGAAGTGACCCCAAATCCCAGCGCCGTGGGGTCCCCCCTTCTGTTTGACGGCTGTTTTTTTCGGCAGGAAAGCAAACGCCGGCTCCGAGGAGCGGGCTAAGCTTTCACCCTCAGCAGAAGGATTTTATATTATACAATTTGACATTGATCTTTAAATCGCCTGAGCTGTGCTTTTTTTGTCCGCTCGCTCTCATCGCGTTCGCCGCCGTGTCCTCGCCGAGCCTCCCGCTAAGCTGCTTCCTTGCCGCCTTCCTCAGCCGGAGCCCGGCACCGCCCGGGGGGCACCGCCGCTTCACGGCTCCGTTTCGGGGCGATGTTCCTTTCCCCCTCCGCCCGCACCGCAGTGCCGCCGTCTCCCCGCAGCCGCCTTCGGTCGGCTCCGTGCGTGAGAGCCGCTTTTCCCGAGGACGGGGCCGGCTCCAGGTATTGCCGAGCTGCTTTCAAATCCCTTCCCGAGCCCCGGTTTTCCCCGCCGGGTGACATCGGCGCATCCCGGTTTGGGGAACGGGCCCAGGGCTGAGGCTCCCAGCTCCGCATAGGGCTCTCCTTGCAGCCCACGGGGCTGCGCCCGGTTCCGCCCTGCCGTGATCAGAGCCTGGCACCGCGTTTTGCCTTCCTCGGGATATTCCTTTTTGGCCGATAGGAGCCGAACGGAGCGGCCATCGATGGGCTTCTTAGCCGGGAGTTTGGGGGAAAGCGAAAAAAAAATCCTGATTTCACCCCTAGAATGGAATCGACTGAAGCACAACGCAGTTAATTCTTTATTTTATATAAATATAATTATTTCTTTTCCGAAGGAATAGGCGCAGCGCGTCGTGGTTTCTCCCTTGGCTTCTGCGGATGTAGCAGTTGTAGCGCCTGGTTGCGAGGAATTAACCCTTTCCAAAAGACATATAAAGAAGGAGATAATTCTATAAACCTACACAGCCTGCCTCCCTGGTTTAGAACTCCTTCCTAGCTACAAAAACCGGGATTTAGGCTCTGGGCAGAGGCGACTGTTCGATGTTTTCCGACAAAGGGTTGAAATGCCACCAGAGCTGCACGGTGCGCTCCGAGGGTCCCCTCAGATGTCCGAACCCACGGATGGGAGCGCGGGGGCCCGAGCAGCGCCCGGCCCCTCTTACACCTTCCAGGCCCCAGTTTCCCCCTCCGGAGCCCGGTTTCGCTTCTACGACCCTCGGAGGAAAACCATACATGTTTTTCCCCTCTGCCTTTTCCCTCCCGGCACCGAAAGGCAGCACCTTTCCCTTTTCTCTTGTTCTCATTTTTTTTTTTTTTTCTTTCTTTCTTTCTTTCTTTCTTTTTTTTTTTTTTCTTTTTTTCTTTTTTCCTGCTTTTCGCTTCGTCTCTCCCCGGGTTTCCGCTGTTTGAAAAATTATAATAATAATCGGGGGAAGGAAGGGGGGAGAGGTATTGACATTAAACACGGCTCTTAGAAAAGGGTCGCAAAAGTCTGCCTTGACCCCTCTCTCTCCGGTTTAACAAAGAAGGAAAATATTGTATCAAAAGTGAAGCGAACGGGGAGGGCGGAGGAGAGAAGCAGCTTTTCCTCTATTCAACCGGGGAGGGGGGAGGAGAAATGGTGGAATATTTCCGTTTCTTTTGAGAAGCGGGGCAGCCCCGAGCGGAGCTGAATGGGAAAGTCTTGTAAGCGGGCTGGGAGGCTGTCAGACCGCTCAGGGTAATCACCGCTAATGAAGGGAGCTCCGGCCCTCCCTGGGACAAAGGATGCTTACGAGTGCTCGCCGGGGCTGAATAGCTAATAAGTTCGCGAGGGGGAAAAATGAGGAGCTGTCCGCAAATTGATTTTGAGAGAGCAAAAAAGAAGGAAAGCAAAAGGCTTGCAGGTTGGGGCGAGCTCGGCCCCGGTGCAGCTGGGGACAGAAGGCTCCACTTAGCCGGGACACATTGTTCAGCCCCGGCCCTACAGAGCAGGCGGCAGGGAGGCCGGGGGGTGCGGGGGTCTCGGGAAACCGCGGTGCTGCCCTGCTGCATCCCTCGCTGCCCCGCCGCTGCTGCTCGCCGCTCGCCCGACTGCCTTATTTGCTTTTCAGAACGAAAGAAGGCTGGGCGTCTGCGGCCGTGCGAGGTATTTCCCCAGCTTTCCCCCAGCTCGGCTCGTTGGCAAACGCCTTGTGTGGCACAGACTGGTGTGTCTCACAGCCGGGGAAGCACGGGAGCCGCTCGCATTTTGGAGTTCTCATGCATCCAATTAAAGGCTTGGGAGGATCAGAGTGTGTCTCACATCCAGTCACCCCCAGATGATGCAGGGGTAATACCATGAGAGAGCATAATACCTCCAGCGATGCTCATACCTCTCCCTCAGGAATGCGTCGGCTTCTGTATGTACAACCTTATTTACTTCTCTTCCAGGAGATCCAAGCAGAGGATGGAGGTGTGAGAGGCCACAGAGTGCCCGTGCCAAACCAGGACCCATCCTCTCCCCATTTCCCTCCCCACGGCACACAGCTGGATCATGAACCTTGGGCTGATCTTGCTGTGCCTCCTCTGGAAGGGGCGAGACCTGGCTAGGAATTAAGGGAAGGAACAGGCAGTGTTAGGTCCCCTGAGGCATGCAAGCACTTTGCAATCCATCTGCCTTCATTCTCAGCATGGGCGTGATGGAGAAAGCCCTTGAATTTTTGTTCCTTTCTGTTTCAGGACAGGCTGCAAGACCCCGGCAAGAATCCTAGAAATGGCTCCCCCCCCCTTCAACATTTTCAGTCCAAGTCCACTCCAAAATGCAGAAATTCCCTGGAAAGCCCATTTTAACCCTGCTACTTTCTGATCTGCAATACAGACCCCATAAGGAATCCAGTCTGGATGGCAGTTTCCCACTTCAAACATTATAAAAGCAAAGTGGGCTCATGCATTTGTTCCCTTCAGCCCTCCTTGGAGGCACAATGACACTTCGACTCTAAAAACAGTGCCAATGCACTGTCCTCACAGCCCCTTCTTGCCCTCGGGATGTGCTCTGCCCAAACACATCTTCCTCCAACACAGGCTCCTCTGGGAAAACATCTGCAGCAGTTTTAGCTCTCCATTGTCACAGCAGGATGATGCCACCTGGTCTGATGCACCCTGGGTCAGGGGCTCTCCTGCTATTTTAATAGGTTAAATGATAAATCTCTCATGTGTTTTAGTGTCTGAGCACACATACAGCTGTACTAAACCACTTGAGATATTCCACAGCTTAAAGGATTTAGGTGCACTTCCATATTTCCACTTAAAGCTGCTCCCCCCAGTACTTCCCTGAAGTTCTGTCCCTTGGAAGACTTCCCATGGGCGAATGCAGATTTCTGAGGGGTTCCTGCAGGAGATGCACAGCCTGAGCTGATCTCTGCATACCTGCACATATAGGCACTGATCAGCAGAACGAGCTCCTCTGCATTTCTTCAATAACTCCATAGTAACCCACACATCACTGGGGGCTTCACTAGGGCAAGCATGGAGCTTTATTCTGCCATTCCCTCTTCTTTTCCATGACCCATTGACTGCAATGGAGAGCTCTATAGTGGGAGAGCAGAGCGTGTTTTGTTTCAGGTGGAAAATTTTGCGGTGTTGAATCTTCTTTTGATGTCCATCAGTGGCTCCACTCAGAATAAAGGCTTTTCTTCTCAGAAGGAGTGGTGATGCAGTGGTACAGCCCCCAGGGAGTGGTGGGTCGCTGTCTGTGAAGATGCTCAAGAACCACAGAGATGTGGCACTGAGGGACCTGGGCAGTGGGCGCGGTGGAGTCGGACTGGGGTTGGGCTCAGTGATCCTAGAAGTCTTTTCCAACCCTAATGTTTCTATGATTCTATTTCTACCAGTTTCACTTGGCTGGGTTACCTATTGAAAT